GGGGGTAGGGAAGGGGGGCCTTTTGATGCAGACAGGCGTCCTGGGATGATGGGCTGTCCTGCTGCCCTGGAGCCGTCCATCCCTCTTGGCTTGGTACTCTGGCCACTTTTGTGTCTGACAGGATGCTGGTGAGACAGAAAAAGGCCTGAAGTAGATCTGACCTGTCCAGATGGATTTAAGATGGTTTTTGGAGCTTGGGAAAAATTTTGAACATGTTATGAAGCAGCCATGAGAAAATTAGTGACCATTGTACTCTGCTTATATTGGTTAGTGTTAATGAGGGAGACAGAGAGATTGGAACATGTTAAGCTTTATCAGAGACAGATCATTTAAGGCTCCTGTTTCCTTTACTAGTTTAGCATCCAGGAGACAGGTGACCAATTGTTGAAAGCATTTAGCAGTAATAGATGGTTATATTAAAGTCTGTTTTTATAGAGCCCAGACACTTTTGGGTCTGGGGGTGCAAATACCTTTTAGCTGTTATAGTTTCTTACTTGATGATCTCTGGACTCCAGTTCTGTGGTGGTCCTGTACCATTAGCTGAGCTGTTAATTAGAAGAGGGAACTGAGAAGAGAAAAGCTTGTGGAATGAGAACTCATTTTTTGGAATTAGGGACAAGGCAGAGATCAGGGCCCTGTCTGTGTCCCTGTGCGTGAGGAGGAGAAGCACTTCTGACAGGTCTAGAGTGAGGCACATGGAGGGAGCATGAAGTGAAAGCTCCTACCTTAGCTGGACAATCTTTCTCATTAAGTAGCCCTGAAAGTGCAATTAAATCTGGTGAGGTGGGTAAGGCTGTCCTCCCTACCCTGACAACAGGGAAATAAGGAGAGATGGGACCCCAAAACTCCCAGGACTGGGTTAGTGACTCTGCTGCATTCTGGGTTCCCTGTGAATGAGCCTGTGGCCAAGCCTAGGTCTGCTGGAGCTCTTTGTCTGTCCCTCTGCCTCTTAGTGCCTGGTCCAGTCAGCTGACCGGTTGTCTTTCTAGGTGGCCTTCTGAACAAGGCTCAATTGATGGCCTGGCAGGGCACGCACTAGCCCACATGGCCTTTTTTCCCCTGCACTTAAAACAGGGACCCAACGGCTTTCAGGAGCCAGTGTGTGCCAGCACTTGGCAATTCTGTTCTCGGGCTTTGTCATCTCTCCCCTGGTACACCTTAAATGCCACAGATGAAACTTCCGCCTGTGGGGTCAGGGAGCCTTGCTCTCCAGATGCTTAAGTTTTAGTCTTATGTCAGGGAGGTCTGGGGGACAACATACCGATTTTCCTCCGTGTCTTGAATTTTTTTTTTTTTTTTTTTTTTTTTTTTTGATGTCTGCTGGCTTGAGGACAGCTTTAGGAAGACCCGCCAGGAGGCAGGATGTGAACTGATCGTAAACTTATTTGCATGTATCCTAGCCCAATTTTAGACCTGTCTGTGCCTCTCACGGCAGCTTGAGAACGAGTGGGAGGAGTTAGGGTGAGTTAAAGCCCACCCAATACCGGAGAGCAGAAAGCAGAAGTCAGATAGGCAGAAGTGGTTGCACATGACAGAGAAAGAATCAGAAATGAGGAGGGAGAGGGACTTCAGAGCTGTGGTAGAAAGCTTGGGGATAAGGTAACTTTTCATTTGCCTATTCGCTGGCAGAAGTTAGATAATTCCCATGAAGCTGTTGTGCAACCAAATTTCCTGGTATCCACCCCTATGTCCCCATGGCTGCAGCCAAGAGAGAGGAAAAAGAAAAAATAACGAACCAGGATCAGACTCCAATCCCAGGTGTCCCTGAGGTAGGAGAAGGATCTATGAATCAGCCCAAGTTACTCCCACCTTCATCAAGAGAGGAGTAAGGACTGGGAGCATATGCAGCACATGGATCCCCCAGGGGTCTGACAGCATTGACCTCGTCAAGAGAGAGAATGAGAGTTGGGGCCAGCATAGGCCGAGGACCCCCTGGAGGTCTGGCACAAGGAATATAGCTCAGACTGCAGTCGCTGAAACAGCAGGGGAACTCGCCAATCGCATGCGTAGTAGAGGGAGGAGACGTGGCGGTGGCGGTCATGGCAGTGAGGACAGTCCTGACGTGGTACTCTGCGGTGGCAGTAGTGGCGGGCAGTCACAGTTCCTCAGTATAGGCTTCTGAATGCTAGCCCCAGACGCAGAGTGCACAGAATTTCCTATCCGAGTAACGGCAGCAAATGATAGGTAAACGGCGCTGGTGGAAGAAAAGTCATGAGCCACGGCCATGACTGCCAGAGTTACCGAGATCTTTATTAGGAGGGAAAGGGGGGGAGAGAGAAGGGAAGCAGGCCTGGGGGGAGGAAGAGATGGCAGGAGCAGAGCAGAGAGAGCACGTGGGGTCTGCAACCAGCTTTTTAAGGTGGGTACGTAGTCATCAGTACTCCCTGATGACATAAGATGCAAGACCCTGAGCTGTGCATGTACAGGATCCTAACACCAGGTCTCACAGCCACTTATAAAATAATCATTCAGAGGCTTAATATTAATTGCAAATTATATGGCCTGTGGCTCAGGCTTCTTGCTAGCTAGCTCTTATAACTTAACTCAACCCATGACTATTATCTATGTATCACCATGTGTTCTGTGGCTTTATCTGTGCCCCATTACATGTTGCTCCTTGGACGACGGTTTGGCGTCTCTCCCCCGCACACACTCTCTTTTCTCCTCTCACTGTCTCTCGTGGATTTTCCTGCCTGGCTCCATCCTGCCCTGCCATAGGCCAATGCAGCTTTATTTGTTAGCCAATGGGAGCAGCACACATTCACAGCATACAGAAAGAGATCCTATGGTAGTGCACCACCACTGCCCAGCTATGGGATCCCATTTTTAATTGTTGGCATTACTTCCTGAGTGATCCGAAAGTCTCTTCAGAAAGTCCTTGCCCATGTCTGCATCTTGAAGTGCTTTCCCTACTTTTCATCTTGCTCCTCTTTGTCCCCATCTCCTCTCTCTCCCTC